TAACTAGTCAAATCCACAGACGTTCGTTACAGTGTTACGTCAGGTATTCGAAGATGTGACGTTGATACCACCAATATCTCCCGACACAGTCGCATCGCTATGCTATACTTCAGTATGTGGCTTTCGTATTCCATTTTGAGCATCACCAACCATGGATTTTCAGGGCACTGCCAGCCAACCCAAAGGTATGGAACATCCCTTCTCTGTCCCTCTGACACTTGCTCATCAGATATGGTACTTACTCACGGGGATCCTTGCATCATCCGCATATTCCAACATGTTTGGTATGGAATATCCTTCAAATGGCAGCGTTCTCTCTTACTTACCTTTGGCTCATATTTATGAGGTTTGTTTGACCTCGCTCACCTCGTCTTCTATGCTGACTTCCTTGCAGCGTGTGGTCGAACTCGCAACCTTGGCCATCGGTGGATGTCGAGTTTTCCACTGGCGATAACTTGCGTCTCCTGGAAGATGCGCAGATGTTAAAGCCTCACTTTTTCCCAGCTATACCTCGCCCAGATGCCTTCCAGCCAAACATGTCATTTGCCTTTGACTTTTTACACGTCGCTTCATACCGTAGACCAGGTGTCACACCAACAATCTTTTACCTTTGATGCGACATTATCGAAACTCATAGGATTTTGCCGTTTAGGCGTCGATCACCCAGATCACATAGTCGGCCCAGACTATCCCGTCCTCAGGAAAAAAAACTCGAGCAGATGAACATATTCCCGTTGCTCTCAACCCCTTTAGGTCCTTGTACTCGAGGTGCTGGCAGTGTCAATGATCGTATCTGGAACCTCCCTCCTAACCCCGAAAAACCATCCCGCCCCCGCCCGAACGTACTAAGAGTATTGAATCGAGTCCATCAGTCTGCCATGGCTGCTGGAAATGTCCCTGGACTGAAGGGCGCTCTCTTCCGGGCAGCTGTGCGGCAAAAACTTGACCAGTATCATGCCACAGGTGTCAGTACTTACCCATTCTGGGACGCCCTTGTCTTCCGGAAGGTATGTTCTCATTGACCCTCTTACGTTCCTAGTTACAACTTGATATATCAATCAAAGGTTCGTGCTGTGTTCGGCGGAAACTTGCTCCTTGTTAGCAAGGGCTCTCCACCTATCAGTGCCGAGGTTATTTACATTTTGAAGATCGCACTCTTCTGCGAAATTATGGAAGGTACGGTCACTTGTTTTCGATTGTTAATCACATCTGACAGACGGGTCAGGTTACGGAATGACTAAGAACTGTGGTGTCTGTACACATACGTTCAAGGCAGACCGTAATTGTGGAAGAACCATTGGTCTTCCTTATCTTGTGAATGTATTGAATTGGTGGACGTGTCTTCCATGAACTACACAGTCGAGGACAAGCCCAATTCTCGAGGCGAACTTTGTGTCCGTGGCTATCTTGTTCGCCATGGCAAAGTGACATGATGGGTCAGACCGTGATTATGAGGGCACGTTTTGTAAGATAACACCCGAGAACCATTGACGTGGCGATCATTAGTTGCATCCCCTTTCGACTTGCCCTCGGTATCAGATGTCCGTGTCAGGGTCATTCATTGACCGAGCGGACAAGGGTACTCGCAACATCACATTTTCACATCTCGCAGCGCTGAACACTATCAAATTATCAAATTATTGAAGATGTCTAATCCCAATTCAACTTCAGTGAGCCTAAGGCAAGCATCAGAGGTGACCATTTCACGCGCACGTGTCCTTGAGTCCCCCCCACTCACAGCCTAGTCGTAGAACTCCAACGCACAAGTATCGAAGATATCGAGGTGGCGCCCAAATTTCAAGGTAGCGATCTTCCCGACCCATACAGGATCCGGGTCGGTCTCAAGACAGACGATGAGCTCTCACAGCTTCGTCGTCGTCGTAGGACTGGTAAACGACTCGAGAAATTTCATAGAAAGCAGAATGACGTGAGTTTTTCTCTTATATTGTATTGTTTCTATTCCGTGCTAAAGGGTAAATGATTAGCTCATTCAATCATTGCTGAAGCCTATGGAAGAACATACACAAGAGGCGAGAGAAGATGAAGCGAATTTCCCTTTTTCTGTAAGGAAGTGCTGCGGAGCTGCCCATCTCCGCTAAATTAATCACGCATTCAGGTCAGGGTTGCAGTCTGGGCAAGTCTCTGTGCCAACTTCATTCTCTGTGTACTTCAGCGTACGTCTTTGCAATATGTCCATCTTTCTTTCGCTAATTATTTCACACTAGTATATGCTGCTGTGTCGTTCGTCTCCTTATCCCTCATCGCAACAGGGATTGATGCTACTTTCGATTTTGGAAGTAATATCTTTCTATACTGGACTCACAAGAAAGCACTGTCAATGGATATTAACAAATGGCCTGTTGGTGGCTCCCGACTTGAAACCATTGGAAATGTGGTTTACGGTGATTCATTCGTTCACTCGGCGGGAAATCATCTCATTTTCTTTCAGGTTCAATGTTCGTCCAGCTATCAAGTCCTTGAACCTGATTGACATTCTTGCAGCATGGCTTCGGTCAATTTGGTTGTTATCGTTGAATCCGTCCGCGCACTCATGGCTCAAGAAAAAGACAACGGTTTTCGCATCCAGGCAATCATCGCAGTGGCAGCTGCGCTTGGTATGTAGCCTGTACTGGAGCCCTTTGCAATCATTTAATAAAATCTCAAATCAAACAGCGGTCCATTCGTTCTTTTCTTATATTGTTTGGCCCTCAGATCAAAGTCTAGCCAAGTGCAGGTCTTATGGGAGGATCATCGAAATGATCTTTTCATTAATGGATTCGGTAAGACGACTCGCCTTCAAGCAATTCGGTACCCTGAAGCGATCATACTCCCCAGGTATTCTGATGTCTGCTGGAGGAAGTAGATCACGATGGTGTTCGTGACCTCGACCCTTGCATTTCTTGTGAACTTACATATTCAACAGGGCTGGATTCTGCTGGCGCTGTCATTGTGCGCTTCATTCATGTACCCCCATGAACTTTCCGCTCATGTGATCGCTACAGATTGGCGCTGGAGTCATACTATGTACGAACAATTTGGATTCTTGGCTGGGAAGTCTGCGCCACACGACTTCCTGCAGCTCATCATCCACAAAGCTATGACCTTCAGCGATGAGATTGAGAAAATTGATACTGTACGGGCGTACCACGTAAGTGTTCAATCCCATTGCGTATGGTTGCATATTGACTTGATCCAATGACGCAGAGCGGACCTGTGCGTGCCATTGGTCTGATTAACTTATGTATTGTGTTTGCTGACAGTTTTAACTAGGACTACATCGTCGAGGTGGATATCGTCATGGATGCTACTACCCCGTTGTGGAAGGCACACGATATTAGCCAGCAGCTGCAGGATAAGATCGAGGTGCTTCCGAATGTCGAGCGTGCCTTTGTGCACGTCGATCATGAGACGACTCATGCCCCTGTAAGTAACATCTAATCACATCATTTTCAACCACTCAATTGCTTGTATTTAATAGGGCCACGTGTCAGTTCTAGCGATGGATTGGTATGGCAACGAGACACTCCACAATGCCCCACTCACCAATATGACGATCGACGGCAAGCCTGTTGCGGCCGTGCAGAACGTCGACAACTTCTCTTTTGCAGTGAGTCATTTTTCATCTCAGCTTGTTAACAAGAGATATACCTCATCGTTTTACGTTTTAGACGAGTGTATGGTGCTGGACACGAAGTGGTCAGTCAACTCTCTTGAGGGTGATAATATCTGCTGATGCCTGTTATGTTATTGGTAGGCTGCCTTCCAGCCCCAAGCAGCTTTGGAGATTTTCTCGCAGGTTGTTCGCAAGGAGCAACTTCATTCTGTCTGAGTGAATTTGGGAGAACACATCGTAATCTGGTTGGACGTTTTTGACGTGTTTGAACAGTGGGCAAACATTCCTTCTGACACCTTTGCACAGGCAGTTGCACCTTCTATGGTGGACCGCAGACAAGGACTTATCGTCAACATTGGATCACTTGCGGGAAACATGTGAGCTCGGTGCAATGATGCACTCTTTTAGCTGACCTTGTCTCACTCTGAATAGCGCTACCCCATGGAATGGATTATACTCTGCAGCCAAGGCGGCAGTTCACGCACTCAGTGACGTTTTGGCTATGGAATGCAAACCCTTCGGTGTTAAAGTCATGTTGGTAACACCAGGTCAAGTCAGGACAAATATCAGTGCTAACCAGGCAGCCACCTTGGAATTATTCCCCACATCCATCTACAAACCTTACTTCGATCGGGTGTATGAACGCCTGGATGGTACAAGCCAAGGGGAGCATGAATTCTTTGCACACTATGCGGTTGCAGAAGTACTGAATCCAGACCCTCCAAGTTGTATATTGCTTGGAGTCAAGTCAGATCTTTTCGAATTCCTCTGCTGGTTCCCTCGTTAGCTTGTCCCCTGGATTTTGAGATCGCGGATGGTGTGGAAGAAGACAGTATCACAAGCGTACCTCGCTCCCGTGTCACTCAGAAACTGCGAAATTTGTGAGTTCTCATTCTTGCATTCATTACCACAATTGAAGTTCCTAATCATCATGGTTCGCTTTTACAACCAATCCAGCTCATTCGGTTCCTTCGTTGAGAATCAAGCGTTCCATCAACCATGCCCTCGTTCTTGAACAAGGTCTTTGGCCGAAGGACAAGCAACGACAGGATTCAAGCAAGTCATTTTCAGGACTCTAACGACAATAGAACTTTACCAGACGGAAAATACGAGGCTGTTTTCTCCTTTGAACTTCACCGCTCCCGCTCTTACCACCTTGTCAAAGGCTCAGACGGCTAAAGATCATGCTGGATTCTCGTTGTTTCGGCCTAAATCTCGGTATACTCCCCCTAACTCTTCGTACAAACGCACGGAGAATCTTCGTGACGCTGATCGCATGTTTTTACGTGCCAAGTCATGAAAATCATTGATAACATTCGAACTAACCGTTGCACAGCCTCTTCTCTCACGACGTTCCCAAAACAAATGGATTTCGCAACCGAAACCTCTAATCCGCCCGCCCTCCTACAAACCTAAACACCTTCGACAACTTCGACACGATGCGAGACCTTCGCGCTTCCCTCTCCCTTTTTTTCTGCCTTTTTTTCTCCTTTTTCATCTCTCTTTTCCTCGCCTTCTCGCTCTCCTTCTCCCTTTTCCTCTCGCTCTCCTTCTCCTTCTCGCTCTCCCTCTCCCGCTTCCTCACTTTTTCGCTCTCCCTCGCCCTCTCTCTCTCATTCTCCCTCATCTCTCTCGCAATCCTCCTACCACGATCAATAGAACAACAACGCTAATCTACTACTCAGAGCTGCGCACACAATCGGATATTGCAACTTACATCTTTCTGAGGTCCCATCGTGCAAAGTAAGTGTTTGCGATTGTGATTTAGCGTCGAGATGCTGATTTAGCATATAGATGCTGATTTAGCGTACGATGCTGTGCGATGTAGAATGACGGCGCCGACTCTTTCCTTTTTCAGCCAGGGACCCTCACACTCCAAAGTCTAGAATGTATCCCGGACCGGAAAACAGGTAAGCCTCTTACTCGTTTTCAGCTCATCCCCGACCAGCAGACTTTTACTTCGCATCTTCGATCAGTACCGTTGCAACTTGGCAAGGACCAGACCCAATCCCAGAAGCCATTA